GATTAACTGTATGGTCTAGACATTGATGATCTATAGTGCGCTGAGTAACTAAATGAAAGGAAAATAAGAAAAAAGAAAAGAAACAATATTTAAAAGCAGCTGAGTTGTTCCGAGGGCAGTTCGGCGACAAGGGGAGGGGTCACTTTGCATTTTCTCTGCTCCACTAGTTCGGGTTTACAAGTCTCACTCAGGTGAAACCTGCGAAGCTAAAGCAAGCTCGTCAAACCACCATGGCAGAGCCTGTCAACTCTTGTAAGCTCATGAAATAGCTCTTTAGATGGTCCATACGTCGAAGAGAAGTAGCAAAAGTGCAGAACGCCCCCCCCCCGTGTCCGAACTGCGCCGCATTCCGGAAATTATGGGCCAACCTGACATTTCCTACGGCTTTTCAAAGAATAAAGTTGGTCACCTGCGATTGCATCGCCTTCCATTCTTGCTCTCTTCTCTTCGCTGTTTCCCAAACAGGTCCATAGTGGGCTTTATAGAACTGAATGAAATGAGCTGATAATAAGTCTTATCATTAACAAACTCGATCGTTTACAAACCTTTTGAATCTGCAGCTCTCTGTCATCGCAGAATAAGGCCTGCCACAAACTCGTAGGAGCATCGGGATTTCTTTCTGGGCCTGAATAACGAAGAGCATGAATAGAGAGTGCTAAAAGTCAAGACATGGAACGTGAGCTAAACGGAGAGGGAAGGTGGTGGTCCACATACCAGAAATAGGCGTCGTGCCTTCCGTGTTTGGTGGGCGATTATATTCGAAAAGGTTCGAAGTTTCCAAGAGGTTGGCTTCATCGAAAAATATCATCTGAAAGATGAAAACTAGAAGAACTATTCTTCGCCGTTTGAATACTTTTCGTTCCATCATGTGTGCAGTCATGATGTTTGCAAAATGCGACCTCTCTTTCCAATCCTATCTTCTGGACGAGGGGAGTGGGGTGTAGGAGGGGGGTGGAGTAGCATATGGCACATTCGAAACAGGAAAAACTTCGAAAAGTCAACAACCGGAGAAAACATCTCTCAAAGTCAAGCAGAATAGTGTGCACATACGTACAGCCCGGATGATGAATGAAGTCAATTTAAAGGTATTGAGTATGATGGTGGGGGAGGAGGGGTGTTACTTCCAACGTATAACAGCTGAAGTGGGGCGGTGGCCAACGCTCTATCGGTCAAGCCCACCACCAATGTGCCAGTAGCAGTAACACCGTCACCCCCGCCATCGGGCTCACTGCCTTCAGGCAAAGCAGGGCTCGTGACCGTGGCATAATAAAGGCAAACAGCTCAGCGAGCGATCGACATTCCAAGCAATACTTCTGATTCCTGAACCTGAGATTTCTGCAATACTTACTTCTTTCCTTGTGAGTTTACTGCCATGTAACCAGTACCAGTGATGAATCAGTGCTCCAACAGGAAACGCCAACAATCCGCATACCGTCGTTGAGATCCACCTCAGGCAACTAACGAACCAAACTAAAAAATTGGTGCAATTATCTATGAAAATTACTCTTTCGTTTCGTTTTGTTAGCAGTGATGAGCTACTACGGCCGCTAAGAAGTTTTGGCAGCGCTCAACGCGCGACAGCACTGAAACAGGTTCGAAACATTTGAGCACGCATGTTGCAGCTAGGCAACATGTTTGGATTAGGTCGCGTTGGTGCTCAACGAAGTGTACAGGGGGGCCAAAAAAAAGTCACTTTCCTTCATTGACTTTCGAGGCGCTATAAGTTACACTTTATCAAATTCTGATCGGACATTTTTACCACCATATTGAAGAGCATATTAAATACTATCATGACACTCCGCCACAGCCTTCTGGACGAGCGCCATCGAGAGATTCTGGCCACGCGAAACCTGGTGATTCGGTGCTTGAGTTCAACGAGATAATCGATTTCCTCCGCCACCGTAGACCACTCCAATTCGAAACTCCGCCGAAACCGTGTATTGAGGGGAATACAGGTCTAAGTGACGCTACTGATACTCGCATCTCCTTCAGGGTACCAGTCCCCTCCATTCCTTCTCCCGATACCTTCGATTCTTTCCATGTGATTGCAGCCAATGCTGGTAGCAGCACTTTCCAAGATAAGAGGGGGCGACGACATGTGAAGAAGGCCACGGCATAAGAATCCCATGAAGGAGAGACAAGAGCTGCTATGGCGTAGTCCCCGGAAAGCGTCAGATGGGGCTCAACTCCCTCTATGGGCCATGAGCCAGGGATTTCCAGCCTCGTTGAGTAGAACGAATACTGAAGAAAGAAAGTAACTTTACTACACATTTTTACTCTTGCCGTTTGGTGTGAGCTGACCTATCGGTTCTTATGGTAGCTTTTGGAGCACTAACTGCAGCGAACAACAGTTATCATAATAGGACTTGTTGATACAGAAAGTGGGCGGATTGGCGGAAAATGAGTATTGGAGCGTGGGTGATTCAGAAGATCAGCCAAGAGCTCTGTATGTAATGTGTTAAATCTGCGTCTGTCTGTCTGCCCGCCTGCCTGTCTGACTGTCGGTCCGTTTTTAAGGCAGTCAGACTTCGCGACGGCAGCGCTTTGGTCGCGCGTTCGACGCGATCGATGCAGTCGAAAGCATGCGCATCGATCGCGCCGAACGCGCGACCGAGGCGCTGCCGTCGCGAAGTCTGAACGCTCCCCTAACATCGCCACGAGTCGCGGTTGCCTTGCTCCACCAATAGTGATCGAGAACTAGTCGATTCAGGAGGAAAACAGCCTTTGGTAGGAACGCTGCTGGCGGATACCGACTGATTTGGACCCGACTGGTTGCTGTGATATGAACTGTATTTATGCATGTCTGTACGCATGTATACATGCATGTCTGCCAGTGTTTATCTGCTTTTCTGTGAGTCACAAAATTCAGAGCGTGCGTATGTCTTCTTTATGTCTGTCATGAGTACAGAAGAGTGTCGTAACGCGTAGTAACAATCAACACTTGGGCCTCGATTTTCGACTATGCAGAATTTGGCGAAGCAGTTTGTAGCGCTTGCATTAGACTTATTGAGTTGAGGCATTGATTGAGCCATTCTTTCTTCATTTCCACCCTCAAAGAGTGAAAATTGAAGGATGAAGGCCTAATCGAGCCGGAAACAGCTGATTTCCGGGACAGCTGTCAATGAGAAAATGACAGAGACATATGCGGTGCGTGTTAAGCGCGTGGCGAAGCAGAGCATACTAGGTAGCTGTCCCGCGTCATCAACTATTTCCAGATAACGCGTTCACCGCTGCACTAGCGTCTGCGCTCCTTCGGTTGCATAATCGTCTGCCCGGATGGCGACTATACATTGCGACTTTGCGAAGGTGTTGGTCATAGAGTCTTGTTCAGCAGGGATGCTGGGGCGTGTGAAAGCCGCGGTAAAAGCCCGATTTCCACTAAGTGTGGTCGCGTGTCCGTTTCTGTAATGGGTGAAGAACAGGCAGGCGACGCGCCTAATACAGCCCCTGGCACGCTCCAGCATACGCAGCGGACAAGGCTGTAGCTTTGTAGCGCGGTCACTGTGATATCGCAATCTAGAGCGAGGCGCATGCCAATTGCCGGGGAGCTTCACAGAATGCGTGGCAGCTCTTTCTAACTGCTGCATGTTGCTGTCACGCTCGTAGCGTGGCACGTAGTTTTATTCGACACTTTCTTACCTGTAGCACCCATTGTCACGAGTACCATGAAGCTGGCCGAGAAATTCGCCGAACATCCAAATGTGGGGCCGGAGGAAGCTAAAAACACGTAGATTTCACAAATGGCATACTTCCTGTGCTTTCTAGCGTTTGCAGTGATTATTCCTCATTACAGCCCATATATCGGCCTTGAAAGGGGAATGTCTGGACTCTAAGAACTTAGTCGTGCCTGGTGGCGGTGGACATTTGCAGTTTCAGGCAGAGACGTAGAGGATGTGGGACAAGAATGCGGGACCACTGGAAGCATGTTCCCTGTTCCCACTATCCGAAACTCAAACCAGTCCCAGACTCATAAAC